CTGACCTGCATAGTGTTTTAATGGAGTGTTGCAGGACCGGTCTCTCTGGTTCTTGTAAGAGAGCAGTTCTTTCCTTGCTCCCCAAGAAAGGTGACTGGCATTGTTAAAAAACTGAGGCCGGTTGCTTTGCTTTGGCGGACTACAAGATCCTCTCCAGAGCTTTATCGAACAGACTAAAGGACGTTCTGGGAAGTGTGGTCCATAAAGACCAGAGTTACTGTGTTCCAGACCGGACAATCATGGATAATGTTTTTCTTATCAGAGATGTCATTGATGTGTGTAAAATCTATAATCTAAATGTTGGCATTGTGTCTCTGGATCAAGAGAAGGCGTTTGACAGGGTGGATCACTCGTATTTGTTTTCTGCACTGAGGTCTTTTGGTTTTGGGGATGGTTTTGTGTCATTAGTTGGTTTGTTGTATCAGGATGCACAGTGTTTGGTGAAGATGGGGGCGGGGTTGAGTCGGCCAATCCCTGTACGGCGAGGGATCAGACAAGGTTGTCCCATCTCCGGCCAGCTGTACAGCTTGGCTATTGAGCCCTTGCTGTGCAGGTTGAGGGACCGGCTCAGCGGGCTTTCTTTGCCCGCGGCCTGTAGCATTGAATGTCCCCCTACAATTTCTGCCTATGCTGATGATGTAAACATCTTCATCTCCAATCAGGGGGACGTTCGGTGTCTGCGGGACACCTGTCCCTGTATGAAAGGGCAACAGCTGCACGGGTGAACTGGGAAAAAAGTGGTGCCTTATTGGTGGGAGAGTGGAGGGACCAGGCAGTGCCCAGTCTGCCGGGTGGACTTGAGTGGGGAGGGAGGGGTTGAAGGTGTTGGGGTTTATTTGGGTACCGAGGGCTTTAAAAGTAAAAACTGGGAGGGAGTTAGGGAGAAAGTGTGCGCTCGGTTGTCTAAATGGAAATGGTTGCTACCCCAGTTGTCGTATAGGGGAAGAGTTCTGGTGGTCAATAACTTGGTTGCCTCGACTCTCTGGCACAGACTTGTGGCTTTGACACCTCCAAGAGGGCTGGTGGAGGACATTCAAAGGGCCATCCTGGACTTCTTCTGGTCAGGCAAACACTGGGTCCAGGCGGCAGTCCTCTACCTGCCGGTGGCTGAAGGGGGACATGGACTTATAGACATTCAGTCAAAAATTGCCTCATTCAGACTCCAGACTGCACAGAGACTCCTTTTCACTTGTGGTCCCAGCTGGATGGACATCGCTCGACTGCTGCTGAGGAGAGCTGGACGGCTGGGGTACACTAAGCAGCTCTTTCTGTTAAAGCTTGAGGAGGTGGATCTCACTGGATTAACATCCTTTTATATGTCTGTAATGCAGGCATGGAAAATGTACACATTCAAAAGGGAAAAAACTGAGAGTCTGGGAATGTGGATCTTTGAGGAACCGTTATTTTTTAATGATTTCATAAGGACTCCAACTTTGCAGTCAGCCAGTCTCCGGGCCAGTTTCAGAGAGGCAGGCTGCACAAAACTGGGTCACCTGGTAAGACTGACCCTGGACGCCCTCAAAGAAAGGACCAATATCACCTCCAGCCGGGTGGTTGAAAGAGTGGTGGAGGAAGTCTTTGCTGCACTTCCAGTAAAACTTGTGACATTTCTAAACATTGAGAATCTGTGTGAGCAGTGGAGTGAAGAGGGCGAATACAGCTTCCCATCTTTGTCTGTTACCCCAGATGTCGGGGAGTGGCAGGAAAGAGGAGGTGGACTGCTGTCCTTTAGTACTCCTGTTCTGGGAAAGTTCCAGGATGCAGGGAAAAAGGCACTCTATCAGTCCTGTGTTAAGGTCCTACATCTTCGTGGTCTGTCGGGAGTGAAAGAGTCGAGGTGGATCGAGTTTTTTGGCCCGGAGGTTTCCCCGAAAGGCAGCTGGCGGTCCCTGTACAAGCTGCCTGTTGAGAAGAGAACAGCAGATCTCCAGTGGAGAGTTGTGCATGGGGTTATAGCCACGAACAGATACAGAGCGCACATTGATCCAGGGGTGGGAGAGGAGTGTTTGTTTTGTTCACTAACTGAAACTTTGTCTCATCTGTTTGTTGAGTGTCCCAGGCTCTCACTCTTGTTTGTCCTTATGAAAAGCTTGTTTGAAGCTCTCGGGGAGGATTTCTCTTATGCAGTGTTTGTTTTTGGGCCAAAGTATTCTGCAAAGAAAAAGACTGTACATACACTGATGAACTTTTTATCTGGCTCGGCTAAGTTGGCCATTTGGCTTACACGCAAGAACCGAGCTCAGGGTACTGGCTGTGTGGAACCGGTGCTGGTTCTGGAGGGACTTTTGAAGGCCAGACTAAAGGTAGAATTTGCCTATTATCAAATGATGGACAATGTGCAAGACTTTAATAGTGTATGGGCTGTGGAAGAAGCTTTGTGCTCTGTGGGTGGGGATGGAGAGCTGATTATTCATTTTTGATGCAGTAAATGTTGTTTTTGTTGATGTTGTGATTTTTGTTGCACTTGTTTTGTTTTATGTTTTATTTTTTATTTATTTATTTATTTCCTTCTCTTGATCTGAGTGATGATGTGACAGTGTTATAATTTTCTCCTGGTAGTGGTAAAATAAAAGGTATTTTGAAAACCAAACCTCTCTCTCTCTCTCTCTCTCTCTCTCTCTCCTCTCTCTCTCTCTCTCCTCTCTCTCTCTCTCTCCCTCTCTCTCTCTCTGTCTCTCTCTCTCTCTCTCTCTCTCTCTCTCTCTCTCTCTCTCTCTCTCTCTCTCTCTGTCTGTCTCGTTCTCTCTCTCTCTCTCTCTCTGTTTCTCTCTCTCTCTCCTCTGTTCTCTCTCTCTCTCTCTCTCTGTCTCTCTCTCTCTCTCTCTCTCCCCTCGCTCTCTCTCTCTCTCTCTCTCTGTCTCTCTCTCTCTCTCTCTCTGTCTCTCCCTCTCTCTCTCTGTCTCTCTCTCGTTCTCTCTCTCTCCCTCGCTCTCCTCTCTCTGTCTTTCTCTCTCTCTCTCTCCCTCTCTCTGTATCTCTCTCTCTCTCTCTCTCTGTCTCTCTCTCTCTCTGTCTGTCTCTCTCTCTCTCTCTCTCTCTCTCTCTCTCTCTCTCTCTGTCTCTGTCTGTCTCTTTCTCTCTCTCTCTCTCTCTCTCTCTCTCTCTCTCTCTCTCTCTTTTTCTCTCTCTCTCTCCCTCTGTATCTCTCTCTCTCTCTCTCTCTCTGTCTCTCTCTGTCTCTCTCTCTCTCTCTCTCTCTCTCTCTCTCTTACCTCGATCATCTCTGCAGGTTCGTCTGGTTCAGTGGTGGAGTTCACAGTTTTCTTCCACCTGGGTTAAATCATAAAACAATAAATTCCCAGTTTAACATGATGGGAGTCATAAACAACAGAATGAATGTTGATGGTTTTACCTCAGCCACAGAGTCAGGGGAATCAGAGGACTCAACAAGAGGAGCAGCAGAGTCCACCTGGTGATGATTTTTAGTGAGTTCCCTAAGAATGAAAGAGCGATATGTGAGACACTTCACTGGAAGGATTAGACAGAAAAATCACTTTTCCTCTTTGTTATACCCTCTGTTCATCATTCAGTCAGTCTGACACCATGGAGGAGGAAATGATTAAGACATTTTCACATCTGCACTGCTTAAAGTTTCTAGATCATTTCAGGAAGATTGCTCCTGATATCCTCCTGAACACTTCAGGAGGTTTTCAGTTTTGTGTAAAGTGTGGAAGCACTTTAAGAGTTGGTGGTTTGGGTGATTGTTCAGTTGGTAGGTCGGTAGAATGGACTGTAAATATGAATGTTTGAAGCCTGAGTGACGTCCCCCCTCTGTTCCTGCAGGGGGCGCTGGAGTCCCATCGATGGCGGTCTCCATGCTGGAAATGCTGTCTCAGTCTAACTTTCAGTCAACCTAACGACCGGCTGAGAGCTGGAGCTGAGGCGGGTTTTAAACCTCCTGACAAACTGTTACACCGCGCCCACCTGTCAATCAGGTCAGCTACACGCCTTATTGTGAATAACTCTTATCCTTCATCAAATCAAAACTGATGAGTCATCAAAACATTCACCCCCCGTACAGTGTGTGTCCATCGAGACATGAGCTAATCACACCTATTTGGTTTTTTGAACCAGGCTGTAAACATGTTCATCTCTGCTGTAAAAACAGGCTTTTTAGAATGGGTGTGTATGTGACTTCCTGTTCTTCTGTAGCCAGCCTCTAGTGGACAGTCGAGGAACTGCAGGATTTAACACTTCAGCTTGGTTGGTAGGTAGCAGTAGCTTCATCTCACTCTATTTAATGATGAGTGTTTGACTCACATGTTAGGTTGACAGAGATGCGTTTGGAGGTCGTTCTCCCCAGCGTGTTCTCAGCTTCACAGTAAAACTCCCCAAAGTCAGAGACTCGATGGAGCTGAAGACAAGCGTAGCTCCTGGATATGTGTGATTAGGGTTTAGAGGTCCATCCGCCTTGTACCAGGTGTAATTAGCTGCTGGGTTAGCATCACTGCTACAGGTCAGATTGACTGAAGTGCCCTCCACTATCTCATCGTGGGAACTCACTGACACAGAAGGAGGCTTTGGAGCATCTGGAGAAGAATCAGAGAGACCTCACATCAGATGAAGATGGACGTGTTATATTGAACAGCTTTGGTTCTGAAACTGACGATCATACCTGCTGAATAAAAGTTTTATATTTGCAGAAAAATGTAACAGTGAGACAGATAATCAGGAAACTCTCGATAACCTGCACATATGAAATGGAGGTACCATTTAACCCTCTGGTATCACTCAATGAATTTTTCAGTTTCCTTTAAATCACTTTGACTGTGTTAGTGCATATGGTATGATACATTTTGAAATTCCAATTTAATTTTTTTGAATAGTTCTATGATACACTGAGTACAAATTTACTACCCTCTTGAGCCACCCTCTCCCTCTCTCTCTCTGTCTCTCTCTCTCTCTCTCTCTCTCTCTCTCTCTCTCTCTCTCTCTCTCTGTGTGTGTCTGTGTAATCATCATTTCAGGGAGAATTCAGCTGAACAGAGTGAAGCAGTTAACATATATCGCAGGAAACAAAAATATTGAAATGTCATTTTTTTCTCAATATCGTGCAGCCCTAACTGAGACTACAGCAGGCTGTGAGATGACGTTGCTATCCTTAAGTTAGTCGAACCGACCGTTTGAGCGGATCATTTGATCATCACTGACATACTGGCTGCTGCATTGTTGTCAGAGAAGCCAGCACTTCAACATAGCATGTTTCCTTAATGTCTGATCAGATAGTAAGCTCACGTGATCATCTCACTCTCTACACATCTCACTGATTGGACCTTTAAAGGCTCCGTGTGATGGTGTGAATCAGTGAAGACTGTAAATAAACTCACACACTGGAGGAGACGGGAACTTCTCATGTCCTCGTACAGCACAGGAATAACTGTCTGTCTGAAGAACCTGCTCTGATGAATAAAGATCTGATGTTTCATTTTTGATTTCCTTTCCATTCTTGAACCAGATGGTTTCATCAGAACATCCGTTGAGACACATAAAGAAGAGTCGAGCCGCAAGTCTGATCACCTGCACCTGGAGATCTGAACATGTGTAGAAATATCAGCACACAAACATGTAGTAAATACATTAATATACAACATATTATAAACTGTGAGCTCAGAGAATAAAGTGTGAAATATTACCTGTGACAGTCAGGACGACCCCAGATCTAATTAAATATCTGCTGATGTTTGTTTTCGATATGAACCTGTAGAAAGCCGTGTCTGTCTCTCTCACGTCTGTGATTCTCAGAGTACAGTTGTTCCCCACACAGGTATTCTGCACACGGCCTGAATACTTGGAGTCTTCTTTAACATCCACTTTATATTCAGGCTCATCAGTAGACCAAAATGTTTCCTGAAGTGTGTTAACTTCCTCGTTTATTCCCTCTGGGTATGGAAAGGTGCAGCTCATCTCCACAGTCGATCCTTTACGGGCACAGATCTGCTTAGAAGAGTACGTCACATCCCAGAGATCCTGAACCGCTGAAACACAGAGCACATCAGGAACAACCATCAACATTCATAACTTTCAGAAGAAAAAATAAAAACCTCAACATATCTCAACGTCTAAAAATCATCTGATCACGATTCTATCCAACTGTAATCATTTTAAAGACTCAAAAATGTAAACAGGCTTTTTTAGTATGGGTGTGTATGTGACTTCATGTGCTTTTCTGCAGCCAGCCTCGAGTGGACACCCGAGGAACTGCAGGTTGTTGTTTTGCATCGGCTTCATTGGTCAACACCGGAGGATGCTGCTTGGATAAGATCTGACACTTTGAAGAAGGAAGTAGCAGGGTTTAGTGTGGATGTGTGATGGTGGAAGATATTCACTGTGAGACAAGTTTCCACCCACAAAAACTATCAGGAGATAGAAACTGTATTAGAGAGAACCTGAGAACAAACTCTGCTTTAGAACAACACTGCAGGGGTAAAGTCTGAGAGCATGAATAATAAAACACATTTTAATTTGTGGTATCTAAGAGTGATAAGCAGACTTGGTTTTGGTATATGTCAAGAAAAAGAGTGACCTTCCTTTTAGACGTGAAAACGGATGATTCAAACTAAAGTCAGAAAACGACTTCATGTGTGGAGATGTCACATCACAGAATACGAGACAGTGTTTGTAGTATTTCTGAGAGTATCAGGGATCCTGAAACACAAAGTGCAGAACAAAGCACTAGTGTTGTAGTACTCCAAATCAGTCTTGGTCTCAGGACCACTTTTTGAAGGTCTCAGTCTCAGGATTTCAAATAAAGACCGGTCAAGACCACCACTGATCGGCTATTTCTCCACGTCATCACTGAGATCAGAAGGAAAACGTCCTCTTTTTAAAAGAACAAATAACTTCAATTCATTTCTAGTTTGATTTTTATCCCCCGGTTACGGCCGCAACCTTCCCGGTGTTACACTTCCATCGCTGCAACACCTGTTGGTTTGACCTGATAACTGCTCTCATAGCTGACAAACCGAGGGCATCCAAAACGGCCGTGTGGGGGTGTCTTAAAAGCGCCTACTTTATCTGGTCCAAACAAATCCAGAGCATTCAGGAGCAGAATGTAAAGTTAGAAGGAGGACATACTGGCTGCTGCATTGTTGTCAGAGAAGCCAGCACTTCAAACATAGCATGTTTCCTTCATGTCTGATTAGATAGTAAGATACCTTTATCATCTCATTCTCTACACAGCTCACTGATTGGACCTTAAAGGCTCCGTGTGAAGGTGTGAATTAGTGCTGCAACAACGATCATAAAAATCGATTAATAAAGTGTTGGCAACGAATTTCATTATCGATTCGTTGCGTTGCGCGATTAATGCGGTCAGCTCCCTATGTCCGCAGACTGTGGTGACGTGCACGCCGAACTGTTTACATGCCGACGGCACAGCGTGGCGGAGCTACAGCGTGAGAGAGTGGAGCTGGTATTTCAGATATTAAACACAGCAGAGCGGAGAGAACGGTTCAACCGAAATCTTC